ACAGTGATGCCTGCCTTTCATCTTTGGAGGTAAGGCCAGTATCAGTTAGTAAAGCTGAAATTATAACACTGTTTTGGTTATGGTTATAAAAGCAATAATGTACTCATTGAAGAAACCTGGAAATTATGGAAAAGAAACTACTCATGGTTTTCATGCTAGCACTTGACCATATTTCATTCTGTTTCTAATGCTACTTTAAATATGTTGCAAAGGTATCATTTTTGTGTTTTGTTTTGTTCAATTGTAGTGGTTCTTGTCATTGAAAAGCTCTTATGAACAATGTTTAAATATTGTATGGATGGACATTATTCTGTTATAATTAGAGAGTTATATTTACAACTCTTCACCCTTTATGAAGGGACTACAGTGAACTTTCACACGTTTCTTTCTGTATGCTGGGTTACCTAAGTGTGGCTTCCCAGCTCTGTGGCTAAGTACTCAAGTTGAAGAGCTTATCAGCTCTGGGTTTGAGTTCTGGCCATGTGGTCCTGGGCCAGTTACCATCTGTCTAATGGATACTTAGTTTGTAAATTGGAGACAATAGTATTTGCTTCAATGACAGTGTAGGCAGCTCTAATGAAAGTACTGGTAATGTAGATGGTATTGTGTAACATCTCAGAATATTAATGTTATCAGACTCTTACTGCATCTTGCTTCCTCCAAAGATTATCCCAGCTCAACTTCCCATCAAGGGTAAGGATCTCTGGAAACATGACAGAAAATATAGCTATTTTCATTTTAAAACTGATCCAGCTACTTGAGGCTTGGGAACCCTGGCTTTCAGATGTAGCCATGTGGTTCCCTCTGAGCACCCTAGAAGTGGCTTGCAGTGGTCTATAATTGTGCTGCTAATGCCATGCAAGACTGGGTGGTAGGTAGCCTGAGCCAGCTCTGGAGGGAGCCAGCACACACAGTTCAGCAAAGCACCTTCTTGGCCTCTCCTTGTGCCCCAGCAGCTTACCTGGCTATAATCTCCACTGTGTTGTGGATTCCTTGGGACACCACTATCAGGAGACTCATGAGACCCTTTGGTCATTTTTGCCCAATGATGATGGATTGAGGACAAGCTAAGCATGTGGGATGCTTCTGCTGTTTATTCCGGCAGGTGCCTGTGGTATGGGGTGGTCCTTGGGGTTACAATGCAAAATGGCATAGTAATGATTCTGAGCAGTTGTAACCCTACCCTAGAACATTTGCTTACTCAATTTGTGACGTGCTGGGGTGGGCTTCATCCTGGTCTGGGGGAAACTCCCAGGTGCCTCACCAGAGTTCTCTCTGTGGAAATGTATCAGCACATCTTCTCTAGCAGTGGGTTTAGAAGAAATGTATTCAATTAAGTACTCTGCCAGGCCGTAATCATATGCTTCAGATATGTGAGCTCTTGCTCTTTGTCCTGAGGGGAAGAGATTGTTGTGGTTCTCTGGTCTCCAAGTGGACCTAGGACCTTTGCTTGGCATTTGCAGTGTGCTTGGGTTTGCCCTGCAAGGGTGAAATAGTGTCATTTTCTCTGCTCCTCTCAGTTTAGGTTCTGAAAGGCTCCTGGACATCTCCCTGCACCAGGAGACAATGTGACTGGTTCCAGGAAAGTTCTTGAAGGGAAGGGGAGAGTAAGCTCACTTTTGCTGGGAGCTGAATTGCATGAATCAGAGTTACTGCATTGGTGATTCCAAAGCTGCAGAGCCCTTCTGTTCTGGCTGTTTTGTGAATGCTAATTGGTCTTAGACTTTTTTAATATATGTTTTTTGTTAATCCTTACCTGAGGATATTTTTTCATTGATTTTTAGAGTGGAAGTCGGGGTGGGGGTGGAGGGGGAGAGAGACATTGATGTGAGAGAGACACATAGATTGGTTGCCTTTCACACATGCCCTCACTGGGGCCGGAGATCCAACCTGCACCCCAGATATGTACCCTTGACTGGAAATTGATCCCACAACCCTTCAGTGTGCGAACCAACACTCAAACCACTGAGCCACACTGGGCCAGGGCAGTCTTAGACTTTTTAACGTTGGGGTAGTCTTGGCCTGCGCCATACCAGCAGTGCTCTGCCAGCTAAACTCCTGACTGCTTCTCCAAGGAGGTACACTCTCCTCCTGTGTTGCTTAGCTCTCAGGCCCCTCTCTTTGCAGCAGCTTCTTCCAAGGGCCTCACTCTTTCATTAACATTGTAAAACCATGCACACTTGTAGCTTTGTTCAAAGCCCCTCTGGAGGAAGACAGGAGCACAGTATGTGTCTGCAAGGAGTGGTGAGAGCTGAAGAGCAGACTGAGAACAGGCTAATGGAAGCCCTGGCTTGGCAGCTGCCACATTACAACATACAAGGACACTCTGGAAGCACATTAGGTCTCTAATTGGCAGTTTCAGTTAGTTTCCTTCCACTTTTGAGCTTAGATTTAAAAAAACCTTTGAAGGCGGGATGCAAGATTTTCTAAATAATTGGACCAGGTGTTAATTGTCTTATAATTAAAAATAAATAAGAATGATTTATAATTAGTTTATTAACTATATTAGTAAACAGGTACTTTATTTTTTATTTATTTATTTTTATCCTCACCTGAGGACATTTCTGCATTTTGCTTCAGATAGAGCGAGAGGGAGGAAGAGAGAGAGAGAAACATCAATGTGTGAGAGAGACCTCGAGTGGTTGCCACCCACACATCCCTGGTGGGGACAAACTGCAACTGAGGTATGTGCCCTTAGCGGACACTGAACCCAGGACTCTCTGGTCCGCAGGCGATGCTCTAACCACTGAGCAAAATGGGCCAGGGTGTAAACAGGTACTTTAAAGAGTATGCATTTCCTCCCTGACAATAGAAGTGACTCAGCCATTCATTCCCTTATGGATGCCTACACTTGCTATTTGCTTAGCAGCCCATTCTTTCTAGTTAGTGCAGAGGGTGTTAACTCAGACCCTATCTATCTGGTGAAGTGGACTCTGAATCTGTTCTCTCACTGTAAGCATGCAATTGTGCTTTAAAATCTGTGAAACTTCAGTAGGCAACTCCAGATATTTTAACTAAGGCATGGTTTTTCAAAAATAACAACTTTGTGGAGCTGAGGGGAGGGAGCTCCAATTTTTGAGGACTCACTGGCTTTTTGAATCTTATAAGAAGAGTTGGATGGAGAGAGAGAGAGAAACAGCTGAAGACAGTTTCTAGTATTTTCTGGTGCATTTTACATCATAACGGAAAAGACTGGTTTTTCTCAAACATTTGGAATTGACCAAGTTCATGGGGGATGTTAAAAGTAAACTGCCACAGGTGGTTAACAGCAAGACACATGTTAACAGTGGGGATGGGGACTTTGGGGTCCAGTGTGGAGAGTTCTAAGAGTTCAGTGAGGTGGGAGATGTTAACACTGTTTAGTGGGTTCAGGTGCTGATCCTTCTTGTAAGCACAACAGAGGAAGATGTGTTCATTCATCTGGCTTCTCTTCCCTTAGCAAAACCATAAATGAAATCTGAGCTCTGACCATGGCTTTGTTCAGAAGCAGCCACAGGATTTACAATCTACAGGAACAGGCAAACTGGCCCATGCTTCACCCTAGCAGAGCAGACCAGCATTCTTAACCAGTTGGAGTCTCTCCTTCGCCCCTTTTGTTTCCACAGTTTTCTTTTAAACATATGTTGTTGTTCTCCTTGGTCAAGTACAAAGAAGGCACCATTATACAATTTACAGATTGGTGGGGTGGGGGTTGGGAGCAGCTCTGCGTGGGGCTGCATACCAAGTCTCCCAGAAACAGGGAGGGATAGGGTTGCTCCTCCTTCCCACACCAGCCAGGCCTCCCTGGCTTAGATTAAAATTTAGACACAATTGGGAACCATGAACCTTGCCCGCTGAGCTTCTAAAATAAAAAATCATCCCCTGAAATGGTCATCTGTTTTCATCAGTAGCTTTATTAGCTATGAAATTAGGTAGTTTGGTTCTCTAACCGAGTAATTAATCTGTCTTGCACTCTTTAAAACAGCTCTTTGAGGTGGTTTTATAAATATGTACTATAACTACATACTGGATACTAAGATAGATAACATTGCTGATCTTATATTTGGTACTAAAAGCAAAAATTAATTTAGGAAATATACTAAAAGTTGAGAAGTCAGTCATTACCTTTTGAATGGGTCTGTACTCTTCTGAAAGAACCATTGTAGATGAGAATGTCTAGTTTAAAAGTATCCTGGAAAATAATGCTTCAGAAGTCTGTTCTCCACGTTTAAAACTAAAATTTCACTGAAGACTCTGGTCTCATCATTTTAAATAACCAGAAAGTTAAGCATTCAGACTTTCTCCATTATGATGTGTCAATCTGAGATACTTCCAAATTGAATCTCAAAGTTGCACCTGATCCTTAAGGGCCAGTAGCCATCACTGGAGTGTCACAATTCCTCTTCTCAGAGGCAGGCCCTCAGATGCAAGCTGTATTCACACATCCCATTGCTTCCAGGGCTCCTTTTGTATACATGACAGCAAACCTTCTTGCCCCGTGCCCCCTGTGCTTGCCCACATTGATGATACCACCTAAGATAAGGTTAAGGTCTCCACCACAAAGCAGTCAGAAGCTCTGCTTCCCTGCCATTGTCTCTTTCAGCCCCACAGCAGTCTGTACACTGGCTTTTCAGCTTTGGATGTGGTTTGAGGAGTTTGTTCATGGCCCTGTAGCTGGAGAATGGCAGGGCAGGCCTCACGCCCCAGTGGGCTCTCATTGTCATTCTTGCTGCCTCCCCAAGACACCTTGTCGTCATCATCTAATTCCCATATTTTGTTGGATCTGAGGCACCATTGCTTGCAAAAAGTTGACCCATTTGAAATTATTTTTTGTGGGTTAGAAATACAAACTTCATAAAGACAACTTCCTATAGATCAACTGATCTAAAAAGATGCACTTTTGTGAAATGTGCCATGAAGAAAAAGAAAACCGTTTAATTTTATTTATTTATTTATTTTAGGTATATGAAAATTTATTACTACTGTGTTTTTACCATCAAAACTTATATGATCTCAGCCTTAAAAATATGGAATGCTTCACAAATTTGTGTGTCATCCTTGCGCAGAGGCCATGCTAATCTCTGTATCGTTTCAATTTTAGTATGTGTGCTGCCGAAGCAGGCACAAAAATCGTTTAATTTTAAACTGATCTGATGCTTAGCCATTGATTGATCTGTTGCACTCCACTGAAATTATGCATGACATGTTAAAATGTTAAGGAAAAATTGATGGGAGAATAAATAGTCCGTGCTTTGCCCAATTCCACAATTACATCAGTTTCTTTGGAAAATGCCCTAATCAGGCAACATTGTTACTAACATCTTGTTAAGCTTTTAAACCATAGTTTCATAATTGTAGCAGCAAATATATGTTTAAATTATATCAGGAACTATAATGCTTATTTTGACAGACATTCCTCTTATTTGTCTACATTTAGCCCTAAGATTTAAAAATGTTTGTTTTAGAGAAAGTTTGGAGAAAGAGTCTGTAGACCTACTGGAAAGTGTATCAGTTGACTTGGTCTCTCCTGGAGGGTGTGCAGGTTGTGGTGGGGTGCTTAAGTCAGGCTGGTGCCCTCTGCGGGGAGCCACTTCTTACTTCCTTGGCTTCTGTGCCTCCGAGGATGAAAGGAAGGAATGAGGACCTGGAAGGGGAGATGGACGCCATTCCAGTTTGGAAAACAAGAAATGTGTTCTAGAGGGGCTGCCCATGTCAGCCTTCTTCTGAGTTTAGTGTTTCTCAGCTGTCTGGTTGAGTTAAGGAAGAAACAGCCATACTGTGCTATCTCAGTCAGTTGCCACTGACTACATATGACTATTTAAATAAGGAAATTAAATATTGAGGTCCTCGCCCTGGCCAGTTTGGCTCAGCGGTTAGATCATCGGCCTGCGATCCAGAGAGATCCGGGTTCGGTTCCCGCTAAGGGTGCGTACCTCGGTTGCAGTTTGTCCCCGGCCCTGGTTGGGTCGTGTGGGTGGCAGCCAATGTGACCCTTTTACGTCGATGTTTCTTTCTTTCTCTCCCTCCCTCCCACTCTAGCTGAACAAAATATTGAAGAATGTCCTCGGGTGAGGATTAAAAAAAAAAAAAAAAAATTGAAGTCCTCAGTTGCCACATTCCAAATGCTCCATAGCCACACTTGCAGAACATTTACCTCATGCAGGAAGTACTCTCTGTAGCACCCTGCTAGAATTGCATGGGTCATGACTCTCCTTTCCCTGTGGCAGCACTGATAGCCTGTGCCTCGCTGCTCATGGCAGTGCTAGGGCCTGGTCTCCATAACCCTCACCCAGATAGACTGATCCTACTTGGAGGGTGCTGCTTTTTATAAGCTGGAATGGGAAGCGGCCTCAGGTGTTTAAAGCCTCACAGGCTTGATACTCTTTTCTGTTTTTAAAATTAAGGGATCTATATTAAAATAAGAAAATGCACACAGCAGAAAGAATATAAAAATCGCAAGTAATCTTGTAGAAATATAGTTGACCTGTTCCGTGTGGTATTAACATTTTACTATTTCCAAGTGTTAAATATAAGCAATGATGTAATGAACATTCTCATGGGTGCACTTTTGTGTACAGCCTTTATTGTTTTTCTTCAAAGAAGTGTAATTATTTTCTTTTTATTTTTAAATTTATTTATATGATGAGTGTATTCTTATGAAAACAACTCAAGTAGTACAAAGTTATTTGGAGTAGAAAGTGTATGTTTTCCTTGCCCAGCTCGTTCCAGTCTCCTGGGTAGGAAGCCCTACTAGCATGTGGATTTTTAGACCTTTGGTGGGTTCATGTGTATATGTAGCTGAACATTCATCAGGAAATGGGGTCATGTCTTTCTTTTGTCTTTACGTGGACAGTCTGTCAGGAGATCTTTCCATGTCAGTGCACATGTCTTCCTCATTCTTTTTTTATCTTCACCCGAGGACATTTTTCTATTTTTTTGTTCAGATAGAGTGGGAGGGAGAGAGAGAGAGGGAGAGAGAGAACACGAACCATCGACGTGAAAGGGACACATCGAGTGGCTGCCACCTGCATGACTCAGCCAGGGCTGGGGACAAACCGCAACCGAGGTACATGCCCTTAGCGGGAACCAAACCCGGGTCTCTCAGGACCGCAGGCCGACGCTCTAACCACTGAGCCAAACCGGCCAGGGTGTCGTCCTCATTCCTAATGAATGGGCAGCATCTTGTCATGTGGGACCATGTCCTTAGGACCAGCAGCGCTGCAGTGACCATGCCTTACAGGTTCTTGTGTAGGTTCAGTGTTTTCTAGCACTGGTTTCCAGAAGTGGAATTGCATGGCGCAGAGAGGGATAAATTGCCAGCTTCTCTTACAGTGTGCCAGGTCCAGGTCCTGTGCACATTGTGGGAGGCCTGTTTTTTCTACATAGTCAGAGTCTTTCTATTTTTGCCATGTGTAGTTGTCATTTCCTTTTGAATTTGTTTACACTCAGCATGTTTTCTGATAGAATTTTTTTGTAATTAGTTTTTGCATTGTGATAATTGTTTTTGAATAGGAGTCTGGAAAGTCTTCCTTCAAGTTTTGAGGTAGCTAAAAGTTCCCTGTGGTTTTTCTGTTTTATTTATTTTATTTTATTTTATTTTTTTCAGGTGAAAATTTTAACTGCATTTGTACTGTTTTTGCAGAACAAGGTGGGAATCAAGCTTTGTTGATTTTAGGCTACTCTGTGAGGTTAGTTTTGGCTACAAAGAACAAAAGGAATGGAGCAATGGTGATCTAATCCCATCAGCATCTGGCAGGCTTTCTGGTTCCACACCTGGCTGCTATTCTCAGAACCACATGGGGATTGTGGTTCCAGAGCTCGGCCACATTTCAGTGCTCCAGAACTGAGGAGGGGGAAGGCAAAAGGGCTGTGGGAACTACTCCCTTAAACCTTCTGAGAAAGTCTCCCAGTAGCTTCTGCCTGGAGCTGCTGGAGAGGATTATTCCCTGTGACCTCTTAGCACACCAGGTGGGCAGCCAGCAGCCTCTGCCACTGAAGGGTTGGAACAGGTCCCAGGGCCTCCTGATAGAATATCATAGTTTCCTATTGGGTTTGAGATACCATTGCTGTGACTCATTTTAGAGAATTTTTCTATGATGGTCACAGCCTAAAAAGCTTGTAAGATTTGGAGACTGAATTCTAGTGGACTAACATTGAACTGTATGTAAGAGATAACAATGACTACATTGTCTGTGGGTGATGAGTCTTAGTGTAGTTTTTATGTAGATGTCTTGTCAGTTGTGAAATTCCTTTGAGGTTTTGATATGTGAGAAGAGTATACTTCCTCATTTTCATTTTTGAGGAGAAATGATCTAGACTTTTCATGTAATTCTGTGAAACTGGAGAATTGAGCGTGTGGGTGTATTCAGTATGGGAAGTAATAGATTAATAAAACAACCTGTGTTGTATCTGATGCTGGCAGCTGGACATGTGGGTGATGGCACCTAATTGTGATAGTGTATTGTCCTTACCCAAATACGCAGTTTCTTAAAGTGATAAAAAGTGTAATTTTAGTATTGAATAAAGTAATCCAAACTGTTTTATTTAGTACTGTTTACATTTCTAAAAGGAGAGTTGGCCATTTAAATGGGTTCTGCCAACAAATCAAGTTAGCCATTTCAAGGGTAAAATATTGTTTCTTGGAATGTTAATTTTTTTATGTCATTTTGTAGGGCATGTAGATTTTAAATGATAAGGTCATAGCAAAATATTTATTAAAACTTGATTTGATTCATTCCACACATATTTATTGAATCTTTGCCATGAGCAAACGCTGTTCTGGTACTGGAGATCAGGCAGTGAGCAGGTGAGCCCCTTTTCTCCTAGAGGTTGGTAGGTTCTAACCTGGGTGGAGACAGACCACTGGGCACTGAAGAATGCTCAGGGTGGTGGAAAAGTGAGTGCTGGGCTTGGCCAGGGAGAGGGCCCTATTTTCCTGTCCTGTGGCTTCTTTTGATTGCTGTGATTCCACAGTTGTTCTGGGGCTGAACAAAGGTCCTCCCTCACTTTCTGACCCTCTTTCCTCTCACCCTTGGTGCTTCCCCTCTCCTTTGAGGCTTTCACCTAGAGTCCCAGCAGGAGAAGGCAGCTGAGGTAGCTTTTCAAGTCTGCCCAGAGGTTATGGTTGTTAGACCTTACTGCGTCTTTCTTTGTTGAACGTTAATCACAGTCCAAAGCCATGCAGTTCTGGTAGCTCCAAGCATCACGCAGTGCCTTCAAGGCCCCGGCTTGCCTCAAGGAAGGACTAGCAGGGCTTGGCCAGCGAGAACCTTCTAGTCCAGTAGGTTCGCCAGCAGTATTCCTTCAGTCCCAGAGGCAGAGTCTAAACACTCACTACTTAATGTTTATTAGAGAAGTAGGTAACTTTGAGGTCCAAGTGAATACCTATTTCAGATAGGTATGTCTATGTTATCAGTGTATCTTACTGGTGGAACACACCACTGAAATCAGGAGGCCTGTGTGTCCCACTTGGCACCTTCCTGCTCTGGGAATGTGGGCATATTGCTACTCCATTATTAATTTCTCTTTAAATATGGGGAAGAGGGAGTGCTAGATGACCCCTCTTATATTATGAGCCAGGCAGCAGACGTGAGAAAACTGACCCATCATATGGATTGGGTAGTTTCTGTGCAGACAGGCAGCACGGGCTCCCTGCACGCCTTTCCTTTCCTGGTACATCCAGGGTGCTGAAGGCAGAAGTCCTGGGAAGCTGAGGAGGGACTGTGTTGTTATTTCAGATGCATACAACTTAAGAGAACGTTGACAGGACGATCTGCTCTGCAAGTGCAGACCTACAGTGACATTTGGCAAATTGGAATGCCTGGTGACAAGATGATTTAATATATTACACTTGTGGGATGTGGGTAGCATTTTATTTATTTATTTATTTATTTATTTATTTATTTATTTATTTATTTATTAATTATCCTCATCCGAGGACATTTTTCCATTTTTTGTTCAGATAGAGTAGGAGGGAGAGAGAGGAAGAGAGAAACATCGACATGAAAGGGACACATCGAGTGGCTGCCACCCGCACGACCCAACCAGGGCCGGGGACAAACTGCAGCCGAGGTACATACCCTTAGCGGGAACCGAACTTGGGTCTCTCTGGACCACAGGCCAACG